ACAGAAGGGTGGTACTGGGAGCCATCTTAGAGGTCTGCCCACCATACGAGCAAACAAAGCCACAGTAAGACATCAGCTCACTGTGTGCCTGTGGCTGGGGAAGGGAGGAATCAACTAAAAGGGGCACAAGGAAGCTTTTGGGGTGATGAAAATGTTCCACATCTTGTGTTGTTGCTTACCTAGGTGTATAGATTTGTCAATTCTCAAACTATACATAAAATGGGTATACTTTATGATATGTAAATTATACATTGATAACAAAATCACAAGGAAGCTTTTGGGGTGATGAAAATGTTCCACATCTTGTGTTGTTGCTTACCTAGGTGTATAGATTTGTCAATCCTCAAACTATACATAAAATGGGTATACTTTATGATATGTAAATTATACATTGATAACAAAATATATGACAGATCTAGGACTTTTTAAGGCTGACTTTGTCAGCTGCCATTGTACACTGACTTTAGGCACCTAAGGGCTGTTATATTTCTTCTTTAATTCCTGATTTTATTTGAATTTTTTTTCTCTAATACCAGTTTTTGACTTAAAGCCTATTTTGTTTGATATAAGTATAGTCATTCCTGCTCTTTTGGTTACCATCGCATGGAATATCTTTTTCCAACCCTTCTTTTCAGTCTACATGTGTCCTTAAGCCTAAGTGAGTCTCTTGTAGACTGCATATAGTTGAGTCTATCTAATAATCCATTCAGCCACTCTGTGTCTTTCGACATACAGTGTCATAAGGAGTTTAGTTCATTTACATTTAATTATTGATAGTTAAGGACTTACTAGTGTGCCATTTTTTGCTGACTGTTTTCTGTGTTCTGTAGTTCTCTTGTTCCTCGTCTCCACTCTTGCTTTCTTTTTGGTTTGATGATTTCTTGCAGTGATAGACTTTGATTCTTTTCTCTTTATCTTCTATGTATCTACTCTAGGTTTTTGTTATTGTTGTAGTTACCATGAGGCTAGGATTGAACATCTTTCAGTTATAAGTCTATTTCAAGCTGATAACAATTTCAATCACATACAAAATCTCTACACTTACTCCCCTTCCCCCCTTTATGCTGTCAGATTTTACTTTTTATTTTTTATTTTTTTTTATTTTTTGTCTTTTTTCCGTGTCCGGCAACGGATCGCAACCCTCAGTTCCCCCCTTTATGCTGTCAGATTTTACTTTTTATATTGTATATTCATTAACCTTTTGTAATTATAGTTATTCTTAATACTTTTGTCTTTTAACTTTTATACTTGGGTTAAAAGTGATTTATGTGCCATTACAGTATTATAATATTCCATGTTTGTCTATATGTTTACCTTTAGCAGTGTGATTTATACTTTCATATGCTTTCATGTTGCTATCGAGGAACTTTTTGTCTCTACTTGTAAAACTCCCTTTAGCTTTTTTTTTTTTTAAGGCAGGTGATGAACTCCAGGTTTTGTGTATCTGGGAAAGTCTCTATCTCTTCATTTCTAAAGGACAGTTTTGTTTTGTATAGTATTGGCTGGCAGTTTTTTGTTTTTTTTCTTTCATTACATTGAATATATTATCCCACTCTCTCCTGGCCTGCAAGGCTTCTGCTGATAAATCCACTGATTATCTGATGGGGGTCCCCTTGTATGTAATGAGTTGCTTTCCTCTTGCTGCTTTCAAACTTCTCTTTGACTTTTGATAATTTAATTATAATGTGTCGTATGTAATGAGTTGCTTTCCTCTTGCTGCTTTCAAACTTCTCTTTGACTTTTGATAATTTAATTATAATGTGTCGTATGTAATGAGTTGCTTTCCTCTTGCTGCTTTCAAACTTCTCTTTGACTTATGATAATTTAATTATAATGTGTCCCAGTGTAGACCTCTTTAAGTTACACCTATTTGGGGACCTTTAGGCTTCTTGAATCTGGATGTCCATTTCTCTCTCCAGACTTGAGAAGTTTTAGCCATTACTTCTTTAAACAAGCTTCCTGGTTTTTCTCTCTCTTCCTTCTTGAACTTCCACAACACATATATTGTTTCATCTAATGTTGTCCCTTAAGTCCCAAAAGTGTTCTTTCATTTTTTTCCCCCTTTTGCTCCTGTAGCTGGCTAATTTCATATGGCCTGTCTTTGAGTGTACTGGTTCTTTCTTCTGCTTGATCTAATCTGCTGTTAAAGCTCTCTATTGAATTTTTTTTTTTTTTTTTGCAGCTGGCCAGTACAGGGATACGGACCCATGACCTTGGTTTTATAAGGCTGTGCTCTAACAAATTGAGCTAACTAGCCAGCCTGGTTTATATTTCTTTATTAAACCTCTCACTTCGTTCCTGTATTGTTCCCCTCATTTTGTTCAGTTGTCCGTGTTCTATTGTAGTTCACTGAGGTTCTATAAGACAATTATTTTGAAGTCTTTGTCAGGCAGTTCATAGATCTCCATTTATTTAGGGTTGGTTACCGGAGTTGTATTAGGTTTGTCTTGTGGTGTCATGTTTCCCTAATTCTTCATGATCCTTGTGACCTTGTATTGGTGTCTGTGCATTTTAAGAAGTCACCTCTTCCAGTCTTTACAGACTGGCTTCATCAGGGAAAGACCTTTCACCAGTTAGCTCAGCCAGAGATTCTGGATAGTTGGCTGCTGGGATCTGCAGGCAGGGCCTGCTGCCAATGTCCACAGGTGGGTGGGGCCTGCCATGGGGGTCTACAGGTGAGTGGGGTCTGCCACCAAAATCTGCACGTTGCTGTGAGCCCCTGCCCCTATTACTTGTTCCTAGCTGCCCCCAGGTGATCCAGCCATGCCAGCTCCCCCAGTGCTCTGGCCAAGGTGAGAGAGAAGTGGGCCTCTCAGGCAGCAACCCAAAATGCTTGGGAACCTGGGGTTCTACCTTGCTTTCTCCTTCCCCCCCATAGGAGAAACTGCAGGCCAACAGGATCTCTGTCAGCACTGCAATGCCCTGGGGGAGGGGTGACATATGCCAAGTGAAGCTGTTCTTCTTACCCTCTTTAATGTGGCTTTTCTCAGTTTTTGTGCTCCACTAAGTGCTGTAACCTTTCTCTTGGATTCTGGAGCTCTTATAAAGGCATTTTCATCTGGGAATAGTTGTCAAATTGGTGTTTCTCTGGGGGGGAAAAAAGCCAAGAAAGATGGGTTCCACCATCTTGCTGCTGTCATTCTTCTGTGGTTTTTAAATCTTTTTCAACCTGTAGATTCCTACTCTGTCTTGTTTTCTCCTTGTAGTCCATTTGTTTAGGCAACCAGGTCACTTTTCCTGTAGCAAAGTGCCTCTCTCACTTACATGCACTTGAATCCCCTAGGCATCTTAAAATGAAGTTTCTGATTCAGTAGGCCTGGGTTGTGGCCTGAGACTCTGCATTTTGACTAATTTGCAGGTTTGCTCAAGCTAGCCTAAGGACCAACTCTGAGCAGCATGTTTCTCAGGCTTCCATCTCTTGTAAATTGGTTGTAGAATCTACTTTGAGGAGAAAACATTTTGACGCAAGATTTTTGAATTTAAAAGTAACTAGTAAAACAAAATCTTTTCCCGAATAATGAGAAGAAATAAAGAGAGAAGGCAAAGAAAACCTAGTCCATATAACAGAAGATGAGAAAGCAAAGATAGAAACAACATGGTCCCAGCTGTAGGATCAAACTTACCAGTTAAGGCAATGAATATAAAGGAGCTAAAGACCCCTACTAAAAAAGGCATAAAGCAGAATGCAATCATGTATCCTTTGTGAGAAGTACTACTAACACCAAATGCACTGCCTCCTGCAGCTGAGTGCTCAGCCACAGAGGGAAGGAAGGGCTGATGCCCAGGAAATGCTCACCATTGTTTTCCCAGGTGAACTGCACATGCCCCAGCCAGCACCCTGGGGTGCAATGGGAGCTGTTTGTGGCCAGGTGCTCTGGCCATCCATCTCTGAGCATCAGCCCAGGTGAGCTGGCCAGACCAGCCCAGAAGACCTCACACTCATGGTCTTCTGGCCTCCTCCCTTGGCCCCACAGTGAGTGGAGTGCAGTCTGTGGGGCTTCTGAGGGCTGTGGCCTGCATCCCTGTGGTCAACATCCCTGTGAGCCATGAGACCCCTCATTGGCAAAGGAGTTGCAGTTGTGGCACTTTATGTAAGATAGAGAAGCTGTCAGCAGGTTCTGTCCATAAACAGCAGGAGAGCAGTGGCATCCCAAAATGGCTGTCCACACCTACACTTCAAGGACTTGCATGAAGCTGCCAGCACTGGTTGAACTCATGCCAGCATAAGAGCCAGGATTCCCACTCAGAAAACCCTGACATGTAATGGTTGGTGTCTGTACGATAATGATTACAAAGATTATTTAAAACCTTTTATTCATTTAAAAGGTGAATGTTGTGATTCTACTCCTAAATGTATACCCAAGAGAACTGGAAACATGTCCCCATGAAAACCTGTACATGAATGTTCATAGCAGCACTATTCCCAAGAGCCAAAAGGTAGAAATAACCCAAATGTCCATCAGCAGATGAATGGATCAACAGTGAATTCTGTCCACACAATGAATATTATTCAGCCTTAAAAGGGAATAAAGTTCTAACACAAGCTGCAACGTGAAAGCAGCCAGTCACAAAAGACCACGTTGTACGATTCCATTTTTATGAAATATCCAGGATAGAGACAAAGTAGATTAGGGGCTGCTTAAGGCCGAGAGAGAGGACAATGGAGTAACTGCTAATGGGATGGGTACAGGGTTTCTTTGATCGTTGTATAACTTTATGATTATTCCAGAATCTACTGAATTCTACTCTTTAAGTTTATGAATGTTAATTTTATTGCAGGTAAATTATACCTCAACAATGCTGTTATTTTTTATTTTCTTTAGTGTTGGTTGTTAAAGATTTTAGCTCACACCCTGCATTCCACCAGCATTTGGACCCTGGGCATGCAGACACTGGGCACTTGTGATCCTTCAGCCCTCGGGATGCTATACAGCTGGTGGGGCTCAGAGGTGACTTGTCCAGGGCTGTGCTGAGTGGTGCCCTGCCCCATCCCCATCCAGGGACAAGGAGGTCAACCAGCTGAAGCAGTGGATCACCACGATGATGATGTCCATCACCAAGGAGGAGGACACTGCTGCTGAGCTGGAGCTCAAAGCTCGAGTCTTCCACTTCGGGGAGTACAAGGGCGATCAGCAGGTAGGCCAGGGATTGGGGGTGACCACAGGCCTGGGGAGGATGAGGCTACAAGCTCCTGCTGGAGGAGGTCCAAAAGCCCCTGGGGAGATGGAGGCCAAGGTTTGGCAGAGGCTCTGGGGCTGCCCATGCCCCTGCCACGTCCACCTCTCCAGCCTCAGGAGCACCACCTGGACAAGCCACCTGTGCATTCATGCCCCATTCCAGCTCAGCTGCCCCACACACCCTTGATTCCATCGTTCTTTCACTCAACAAATTTGTCTGATTCTTAAAAACAGACACTGCATCCAGCAAGGTGATCCTGAGGTAGGGAAGAGGCATGTCCCCAAGCTAGGCTGGGTGAGAGAATGCTGAGGGGACAGGCCAGTGATGTTCCAGGTAGCAGGAACCAGGGACTGGCCAAGGGCTCAGCACACTTCCATCCTGGCAGCACACCTGGGGCCAGCTTCCTACGTCATTTGAGTACTATTGAGTGCCTACCACATGCCAGGCACTGGGCCAGGGACACAGGACGTGGCCATGGGCCGGACCTCACTGAGGCCAGGCCTGGCTGAGCTTTTCTGCTGTGGCTGCTTACTCCTCACACACCCCACATAGCAGTTCCCTGAGACCCACTGTGCGGTGGGCAGGCCCTGGGAGGTCAGTATGCCACTGCTGAGGGCACTAGTCTAAGCAGGCCATGGAGTGAGAGCTGGGCACGGGCCTGCCATCGACCCCACTGGAAGCCTGTTCTCCTCGCAGGACAAGCTGCTGGACAGCCTGAACCACAAGGTGCTGGATGTGTACCGGCACTTGAGGGCACTAGTCTAAGCAGGCCATGGAGTGAGAGCTGGGCACGGGCCTGCCATCGACCCCACTGGAAGCCTGTCCTCCTCGCAGGACAAGCTGCTGGACAGCCTGAACCACAAGGTGCTGGATGTGTACCGGCACTGTGTGGGTGCCCAGCAGGACGCCAACCTGGGCACTGTGCAGATGCTCACCATCATTGAACACCAGCTGGACGAGCTGATCGAGAACCTGGAACATGTGCCCCAGGCCAAGGTCGACCAGGCCAGGGCAGCCAAGGAGAAGGAGAGGCGGATGAGGTGAACACCAGGCCCACCCCACTCTCCTCACCCAGCTTCAGCTCTGGTCTGACACAGCCCCCCTCCCGAACCTTCAAAGAGCTCCTGAAGCAGGGCAGACAGGCCCCCAGCACTCCATGCTGAGATGTGG